CTCTGCTGCTGCCCCCGCGACCCGATCCCAGATAAGTCAGCTGGATGGACAATTTATATTGTTAGTCTAAATTATTACATTTAAAATTATAACTCTAATTCATCAGAATAGTCTATTGTCAAGATAATCATAGAGTGTGATTTATTTTCAACGCAAAATATCTTCAAACTAATGAAATATAAAGTTATTAATGAAGAAAACCCGTCTGGATAACAGCAGACTGACTGCTCGTAAAATGTACGACAGGTCTGGACCACTCGTGAATTTTGTTCGTATCTGAAAAAAATCTTAGAATAAGAAAACATTAGTGAATGTCACAAATTCTCCTAAATCACTYGTACGCACAACTTAAGAACAAATCTGAGCGTACGAACGGTTCTTGCATGAGGCCCAATAAATCTAAAAAAAAAAAGCCAGCAGACTTCGCCAAATCTTTGCTTCTTCACAGTCTCCGTCCTGAGCAGCACACCGGCAGCAGTGGAGAGGAAAAACCCACCTTAACAGGAAGAAACCTCCAGCAGAACCAGACTCAGGACAGGTGGTCACCTGCCTCGACCTGCTGGGTTTGCAGAAAAAATTCTGACACTATTGTTCACAAAACAACATAAAAATGATTAAATTCAACTTATCTGCACTCATTGAATCTCCGAGTACACAACAAAATGTATTTAAGGCCTAAAAATAGGATTTTGCATGATATGTCCCCTTTAATGGTAAAACTGTTGAACCTAATAGACATTTATCTGTTGCTTCAGCTGTGTGTTTAGGGTAGGGGTTTTGTGGGAAGGTGGACCTCGATCCCCATCTTAAATCTCTGGAAGACACCAGCAGGTTTCCCTTGAGAATCTCTCTAGAATTTGTTCCATCCATCTTTTTTTCAACTCTGACTGGTTTCTCAGTCCCTGTCTGAGTTTGTGAAAAACATCCCCATAGCATGATGCTGCCGTCACCGTGCTTCACAGTGAGGGATGGTGTTCTCAGCATGACGACAGGTGTCAGGTTTGCATCAGGCATGGGACACCTTCCACGTGCTTGATTCTCGGCTCGCTCTATCGAGGTTATCTTTGGTTGCTTTCTGATAAATGTCCTTTCCCTCACTGTCAGTTTTAGTGGACGAACCTCTCTGTGCATGTTTATTGCGGTGGAACCATCATAATACATTTAATAGACAGGGTTTGAGATATATTCTATAACCCAACTCTGATCTGTGCTTCTTCACATTATCTCTGACCTGTGTGTAGTTCCTTGATCTTCATGCTGTCTCAAAGGTAATGGTTGGGGCTTCACAGGTACAGTAAAGGGTGCTGATATATTTGTATACACCACTTTTCAGTTTTATACAGGAGATATATTTAAGACATATTAGCTTGGAGCATTCTGCGTAGATTTATCACTGATAATCGAATTGAAAATGCATTTTAACTCAGCGACAAAATATTAGGAACACAAAAGAGAGGGGTGAATATTTTTGCAACCCACTGTTAACATTTTTCAGCTGTTTTAAGAGATTGCACATTTCTTAAAGGAAAAAAAAGACGAACAAGTCATCTTTTTTGCCATCTTGTTTTCAACTAAAATCTGAGCCAAGGACCACATTTTCCATGACAGATAGACATTTAGGGATGGAGTGTTAAAGGGGGAAGACTTATGACAAGATTGGTGAGGTGCAAATAAGGCATGCTCAGGACAAAAAACAACAACAAAAAAAAAAATGCTTTCAACTCGTCAACGGAAAAAAAACCTAAAAGCAAATGGAACAGCAGAAATCATACTACAGAACATGGATCAGCTCGAATAAAAACTGCCAACAGCTTGATACAAAAAAAACAACGAATGACATCAAAAATCAAAGCGCACCACCTGGGTTAGAGTGGTAATTTGTACAAAATAGGGGTAGTAGTTTGTAATCAAATGTATTCAAGTAAAAAAACTGACAAAAAAAGTGAAAATGAAAAGATTTGTGCTCTGGCATGCCTAAAAGAGACAGCTGCAAAAGAAACCAGCTCTTTCATCTTTGAGATTTTGAGTCTTTGACACCGGCTCGTACGAATCTTTCCAGAACGTGTCAGACTTTTTCAGGTTTCACAGCATGGTGAGAACATTTCACCGTCGCTCTCTGTTTTATGCAAATCAGATCTCAAGTTAATCCATCAGAGATGCCTGTGCTTTGACAAGTGATGGGTGATTTTTATTCCCACACAAACCTCAGTTTGTGTTTAGTGACACGTGAGACACACACTTACGCAGTCATGTCTCAGACAAGTGTGGAGACCTGAACACTGTGGACTGACTAATGAACATGTTTGTTAAAAATGAAGGGAGTGTTTCACAACAAAAACATTTAATAAAGATGAAACTAAAAATAAAATGTGTCAGGTAAACCTTGAAACTCATAGGTGTGTACGCCAAACTCCTTTCATAAAGAAAATTATTTTATACAGTGAATGTTTTGATACTTTGAAACTAAGACAAAACCAAAGTAAAGCACAAGTGACACTTGAACACCTGATGTTTTAACGACATGTATTGGAAACCAGAGAATACTTTAAAACATGCAAATTATGACCCGTTTGATTTGTCTATACCTCTCAGTCTCCACTCTGCGTAGATCAATGAAAAGGCAAAACTTTTCTGCACAGCAGGTTTGAAACAGACAGGCAGATATTTTTACTTTGCTCTGATGAGGTATGCCTTAGATCACGAGTCAAACCCAAGGCCCGTGGGCCAAATGTGGCCAACCACTGCATTTTATAGCCTCTTTCACAAGACAGTTCTGCGAAATCACCGCACAGACCCGTCCAGCTTTAATCCTCCTCCACTCATTCATAACATCACAGGCGAAGGCAGCCAGGTACACATTCAGAAATGGACCAAGTAGCACCAAACCAAAAGAGACGCGGAGCAGATCTCAGCTCGGCTGAAGTGGACCGCGATGTATTTATTGTGTGATGACGTCTGCTCTGTATCAAACAAAACAAACTGAATTAACGTACTTCAGTGATCCCGTGGTTCAATATTTTTTTTAACTAACTACAAATTTGTTGTTTTGCGTCATCTTTAATATTCCCTCCATAATAAATCTGTTTGTTGATTAATCCTGCTGTCGTTCACTGATGTCCTCAGCTCACTATCATTTTTTTAACTGCAGCACCACAGGGTTTTTTCACAAGTCAGTCTGCGTGGCTCTGATACTACCTCTGCTGGTGGCTCAGAGGAGCATCAGAGGTAGGCCCTATTCTGCCTTCCTGCCTCCATGTTTTTTCAGAATGATCAGAGAAGGACAGAACATGAGTCAATCCCAGACTGAGCTGTCTTGTGAAAGACATTTATGTGGTCCTCGAGAGCTTCAAAGATGTATTAAAGTCTTAAAATAAGCTGCTTAAAAGCCAGCATTGACCATAAGCTACATCTCCCATAATGCATCTTGATTATTTTACCCTTGAAATGATGACATCCCACCTCAAGGTGGAGCTGCACAGGGTTCAAGGTGAAATTCACTGCGTAAAATCTTAATTTCGCTGCATTTTCACAGGCTACTTTTGCAGTAGACTGTGAAAATGTACTTTTCCCAGCTGTTCTGGGAAGTGGGATTTCCCACTTACAAGTTGTGAATTTAAACTGGAACCCCACCTCCAGTGGGAATTCCCTGTTGGAAAGTGGGAGAGTTCAGAATTCAAGACAGCAGCTACTCACCAGAACTCAAAGGTGAGTAAAACGCTCTTACTTTTCCTACTAATAGTATTTCTGTTTTATTTATTTCACATTTAGTCAGTCGAACACATAGTACTTTTCAGCGTTTATAAGAGGACGTTTTAAGCACTGTTTCTATGCAGGAAATACCATGTAGAGCTCAGTTATTGTTTGTTAGCTGTGCTCATGAGTGAGATGATTTGTGTTGAGTTGAAATTAAACACGAAACATTACAACTGGCCCTTTGAGGGCCACACCTCTGTTTTAGAGTTTCTCATCTGTGCAGGTGATTTGTGACTAATCTTTGACTGACAGATGTCTGAACTATGAGGGTTGGGTATAAATACATGCACTGTTACACCTCTACTGATCAGTAAATGAAATATAAATAAATAAAAACTGTCAACTGAAATGATGGTTAGTTTTAAACATGAGACTGCAACAAAAAAAAAAAACAACTAAACTCTAATGTATGTAGTAAAAACGTGCTTTGTATTTAACTTGTTTCTAGTTCAAAGCAGATCGAGGTCTGTGTGGATGTTCTCTGTCATTAGATCTTGTTTGTTTTCTGTCAGGAGAACAAGACTCCGTGTCTCAGTGTGAAAGAGCTAGTTTCCTCCACCAGCATGCTCCTGAAACCTCACCAACCTTCCCACTACACTGAATAATGGCGAGCGGTCGTAAAAGGGGTCCTGGCCTTCGCCGGAGCCTCGGCAAAGCTCTCGCTCATCATCATCATCCTCATCCTCATCATCCTCCTCCACCCCGAGCTCCAAGCACGGGTCGTCCAAAAAGATATCATCATCCAGGTCCTCCAACTGTTCCAACTCGTCCTCCTCCTCCCCTCGACCCTCCCTCTGTGAGTCAGCCAGCTCGGTAATTTCAGAGTTGGAAAGGGTCGGGGATGGGGTGGGATCACTCATGCGCTCGCTCATGCATGTGTTGAAAATGGGGTTTCTGGTGCAGCCAGAGACACGGGGAACCAGGTTAGTACAGTTAGATAAAGAGCACACACTTGTTTTAACAAACGGGTGGGGATGGGGTGGAGGGGAGGGCGGACTGCAGGAGAAAACCTTCCTCCCTTTGAGCCAAAATGTGAAGTGGAGAGCAGAGACTGAGATGACGCACGGGGAAAGTATTTGCCCTCTACAGCTGCAGTGAAAGGTAAAACGTGAGAAAAGGTTGTGTAGAGGCAGCAGGATTTCAGAGCATAAGACCATGAACTACATGATGGAACATGAGGACGTATGGTTAGAGTCTCAAAGAAGCCAGGATGTTCCAGATATGTTCAAACACAAGGTCATATTACCTCCTGCTACAACTTCAACCCATTTGGTTCCCATTAATAGAAACTAAAGGTTTATTTCTTTATTCACTCAGCTTTTCTGTAATGAATCATATTATTATGGTATTCACTCAAATCAGCCCTCCATCATTGTCAAAAAATAGTGATAAGTTTAAAATCTGCCTAAAGTATAAACGCACATTTTCCTGTACATCCCCTACACCTGTTTAGCTGTATTCATTTACCGTAGTGCTGTTATCCATGGTTTTGTGAATATTATCCTTAGGTCAGAGTACAGGTGTCCCAATACCATTTTTTTTCTCAAACTGAGTACAAGCTCCAGTACTTCAGTATGTGTACTTGCAGATACGAAGTACCAATATCAAGTACTTACAGAGTTCAGGGGTGGAGCAAGACATTTTTAAATGGGGTGACACAGGGGTGGCAAATGTGGTTTTTAGGGGGGCACATAGAAAGAAAAACAGCTGCTCTGGATTTCTAAATTTAAGATAGCCTCCACATGTAACTTCAAATGGCTCTAATTTAGCTGTTTTAAGAAATATTAAGCTGACATTTTGTGTGCGATTGTAGCTAAGAATTATTAAAAAAACCTGCTGATCGTAACTGCTAATGCTAATGCTAAATTCACAAAGGGCTATAATTTAGCCATTTTTAAACACATAGCTGAATTTGTGTAGTAGTTGTCAAGAAACAATCTTTTACAAAAACGATTTCAAATAGAAAATCCAAGATGGCTGCTAAAGCCCTTTTCAGAGATACTGAGGTGAAATTCGTTGTAGTGGTAGCCAAGAGAAATACCCATGATATACCCCGGCTAGCAAAAAAGGTTTCTCGTTGTATGCCCATTATTGAAGTGCCATATGCAAACCCCACCCCACTTGTCAATCATTTTGGTGTGGCACCTGTGGTGGTCAATCAGGTGCCAGGGGTGGCAAGTACCACCCTGGCCAACCTCTGGCTCCGCCCCGACAACGTTGGAACTTAAACATTATACAATGACTTTAAAAACACCTTTATTTTATTTAGAAAAATGCATCTCTCCTTCCTCATCGACCTACAGCCCCTCTGACTGGATCAGGTCATGATATATATATATAT